TACATCTAAAATAAATTAAATAAATTACATTACTGATTATTCAGTGTTTATCATAAAATAATATTTTTTTTTTAAATTTCACGTACTCTCTAAGATGTCTTCGCGTACCCCCGGGGGTACGCGTACCCCAGGTTGAATACCACTGGTGTAGGCAACACGGAGTTTTCCTCCGGGGCTTCCCCGGTTTCTCCGTGGCATCCCAACAATTACTCCATGAAGAAGGCAATGGCAAACCACTTCTGTATCTGAACAGGTCCCAGTCCGAGAAAAGGATTGAAGGATCCTGTTCGTAATAAAGTAGAAGCCTCGTACAAGACTGAAATGTTTCGTATTAAAAATCTAGAATTGAACAAGGCCGGACATTGAGTGCCATTTTCGTTTGTTCCGCAGTGTTTTCCTTGTGCGAGATAGCTACAGCAGTCCCGGGTCATTTGTGCTGACTTTTAAGTGCAGTGGGAAAGTTCTGCACTCACAGATACAGCCCGTAAGTATACGTTCAAGTAATTCGACTTTCTGAATCCACGGTCGTTCTTGAAAGTTCGTAATGCTTCAATTAGATCCCGTTCTTTTATGTAACTCACATTTTCATTATCATGTCTACAGAATCTCACCATTTGAGGTATTTATGTAGCACGTAACATGGATATTTGCGTTGCGTTCAGTTAAACGTTTAGAAGAAAATCTTACGTCGACTGCTCTATCCGAGCTGCTGTCAAGTTGCCATGTTACCCGTCATAAGCTACGAGTAGAGGGGGATGTGCGCGCGCATGCGCGTGGGGAAATAAAATGGAAACAAATGAGGAATGCACATATCCAAGTCACTCTGAAAGGATCTTTTGTCACAGAATAACAAAAATCATTCAAAAGCCAAGTGTGACTTGAATTGTATTTGATGCTTTCCCTTCAGAATTTTTAATTAAATTTTATACATGTCCTGTCCATCACAGCCATCTTGATTTTTATCAGTCCAATAACATTTCGGAAAAAAAACCAGTATAGCAGCTTAAATTGTGTGTGATCTTAAACATGTTTTTTTTCGCGGGGGGTGAGGGGGTGCTAAAGGCCCTGATGGAGAGAGCAAGGACCTCTGAAACGTCACTAAACTTAGACAGCCATCTTCAGACTCGCCACCGCGCAAAACCTCAAATCTTAATTACAGAATTATTTTCGTATTTTTAATTTGAATAAATAAAATGTAATAAAATCAGAATTATATCATTACGATGTACAGGTGTTGGATCCACTACGCGATTCCGTGTGTTATTCTCTGGACAGCGGAGTTACCAAGTTCTACGACCTGCTCCAGCTGGTCGAGTTCTATCAGCTGAACGCGGGGTGTCTTCCCACACGACTCACGCACTACGTCGTTCAGAATCCCACCGGCCCTCTGTACGCAGAGAAGCAAATCATACCAGCAAGTTTCTGACGCCGCCGATAACTCGTCTCTATGCGCTGCGAGACAATCAAGATGGCCGCAATGCGTCATTCTATTGTCATACTCAAGACAGTATTATAAAACTTTCGTACAGGGTCCGTATACATATTAAACTTTTTATTTTCTTAATAAGAACAAAGAGTTCATAAGGCTGAGGTCAATTTTTTCATAAAGAATCTCATAGTTACTCTTGTGACCTGACGTTTTCCACTCTCATATATCAACATTTCAGATTCATTGGAGAACTTTTTTTTTTTTTTAGAGCAGTGGTTCTCAACCTCACGTTCCTTGTTTTAAAAGCTGTATCAACTACCTGTTGGCCGTGGTGTTTGTTACGTCGTACGATTAACGAGTTGATTCTAGTGTTAAGTGCTTTGAAACATCGCGGCTTGTAGTATCAACTGTTGAATTAAGGTCTAATGCAAAACTCTTGTCTCTTGTCATATGAGAGTACTTTTTATATAAATATCTTATTTTATCCAGTATTTTGTTTTTAAAAATAAAAATTCGTTAACGCATCACACGTGAATTAGAATCGACTTTGAAATACGAAGAAATTTACAGTAAAACCTCTGGTGGGGTGTGAAGGGGTTTGGATATTTTAAGATTTATTCTGCTCGTAAAGTTAAGGACTTTGTGTTGATCTCACTTTCTTCTGTTAGAGACGTGTTCCGTGTCGTTTTACTGTGTTTTCTGAACGCTGACATTCAAATTCGCCAGGAGATGGTTAAATATTGTACGTAAATGAATTAATCTGCTTTAAATGAAGATCATTACATTGATATTAATATAAATACGTGTACTTTTCACGTATGCAAAAATGCCTCGTGTCTTAACCGGAAGTCGACGTCGATGTTTATAAAAAAATTATCGTTACGTAATTTCAAAATGGCGGATCACTTGTAATGATAAACGCTTGTAACCCAGCGACGTCTATAAACGGATCGTAGTTTTTTAAATTGAAATTTATTCGTAAAGTTGCGTTAAATTCAGGAAAGATTTTGTTTATAAGGAGAGGAATTATTAAGTAAGGAACCTTGGCGTTGATCGTTTATCCGATAATAGTTACGAAGGGATGGTTGCTATAGGGTGATAATAATTTGTATGCACGAGGCATTTACGTAAATTTATCGTCGGTGTGTGATCTTCAAATCCTGGACTGATTTTGAAAACTAGAATTCCTCAGGGAGGAAAAGCGATTTTGGGGGATCAGTGAAATGACAAAGACACAGAAAATGTTAACGTATAATTTAGACAATATTTTTTAAGTTTGTAATTTGGTTTGTACTGTGATTTTTAATTTATTATATCCATTAATTTAATTTTACTTTTAATAATAATAATTCATCATTAAACATATACTTTGTTGATGTTATTGATAAATATTTATAATTATATTATAATTAGCTTTTGTTAATTATTTTGTATTTTTAAGTCGCGAATTGAACTAGAAAGGAGGGGAAAATAATTGTGTTGTGTATTTGTGGACTGGGTTTTCTGAAAAGCTCCGAAAAAATCATCACATTTTGATCGAAAGTAGAAACTGAATGTTTTCTTCTCAGACGAACAATTTTTTTAAGAAAAAAAAATTTAAAAAAATTTCACTCTTGAAAGTTCGTGGATGAATTTATGAACTTTGGGTTATTAGATTGGAATAAATTTTGGTGTGACTCAGAATCTTTGATGGGTCATCAGATTTGAAATGTGAAATTTATAAATAAATTTACACGTCGGTTACGTAAAATTTTCCGAACAACCGTGAACTTATTAAAAACGTCTTTGTCGTCTTTTCTCGATTGTTTTTATGTCAATTTTTAATTTAAACGTAGAAATGTAACCACTTTCAATAAGTGAACATTTTCTGTGTAATTTTAAATAAAATACTCAACATTGACAAACATGAACAAATTTAACGTGAAGTAATTTTTTTTTTTTTTTTGGGGGGGGGGTGGAAATTTGAGAAGGCAAGTTTGCAGAAACAAATTTCAAGTTAAAAGAGAGGGTCGCCTCCGATCCGATGGTACCAAAATATAAAAATTTACGTGTAATAAGCGATGGAACTGGAGTGAGAAGACATTTTGATTACGTATTAATATCAAGTTTGTTGGGGTTGAGAGCTGCTGTTATCAGTTTTATATAAAGAATTAAGTGACATTTAAGTGAGCAGAGTTTAAGACGAAACACCGCTGTGTGGTATCAGAGAAGTTTGTGTAACATTTTTTTGTGTCTTTATTGTAAAAGTTTCTCGTCCTCACTAGTATTCCAGAAACACTACGTACACGCGCTCTGAACACCCACAGTGCGTTGATTTGTTCAAAGGATGAGCTTTGAACTTAATTCATGCCTAAAATATTATTCTTTTTTTTGTAATTCTATGTGTTAAGATATAAGAATGTAACTCAGTAAACTATAAATTTATATTCAGGTTATAATAAAACTTATGTTATGTATCGTTTGTCTCCTGCATTACGTGAAAATTCTACTATGTCGTACGTGATCTTAGACATTTGCGTTCGTACGCTGGTTAAGACACGCAAAATCCCAGAAACTTTCCTGTGAAAATACAGGGTGATTAAAAAAAAGTTGATGATTGTAATTCAGTAAAATTTAAGTGGATTAAGAGACAAAATATTGCTGTGACTGTACAAGAACCCATGTTGTAACCTGCTCGCAATTGTCTTTCAACATTTGAAGTACAATCAAGTATTTTTCGCGCAAGTGTAATGAGCGTTCATTTTTGAACTGGCATCTTGATCTTACTTAACTTTCCACAAAGAGTTGAGTTACCTTACTCGATTATATCGTGCCTCAAAAGAAAATTCGCCTGCCGAAACATTTCAGCGAAACAAGAGATTTTCATTGGGTGACTGCGTGCGTCAGTAAACACAGTGGACACTTAACGTAACTTGTCTTTTCTTTTCCCGATTCGCTATTTTTAACAAGCAGAACATGCGCCAGGAACGGGTTGCATGATTTTAATATCACCCTGTATAAAACTTAATCTGTGGTTCCATTGAGACTGACTTTGGTTTTACGTTCCCACGTGATGACCAAAGCATGGTTTTTTTAACTCATAGACAAAGGAAAGTGTATCTGAATTATGTATTAGTTCAATGTTGCACCTTTGTCAGAAACCTCAGCCAGGGATCAAACCAGTTTCTCCCACTCTCCACTCCTTGAGTGACCCAATGTCCTCTAGACCTGACCCGGAACTTTTTTGTTCTCCCCATATTCGTGGCCACACGCACGCCCGTCCAATCGATTAAACCCCGAGAACCACGTGACAGATTTCGATTAAATTTGATTTCGAGGTTGTGCCATTCTGCATGACCTCAAAATCGTACATTTGAGTAACAACGGATGATGAAATTAGTGAAGTGGGCAAAATCGTTAAGATGATCAAACCGAGGTTGGATGCAGATGCCAAGATAATATTAAAACGGTTTTTAACGCAATGTTCGAGAGTATGGATTCGATTCATATGTGACTATTGTCCGCGAGGCACGAGAGTAAACGTTGCTTGTGTGGAAGGAGGGAAAGTGGGTTCCGCGCATGCGCTGGTGATGTATTCCTTACCTAAGAACATTGTACTATCAGTCAGTCAGTACATTAGCTCACGACGTCCGGCCTGTATAAGCTGCAGGTGTTTTTCAGTCCGCTAGTAGCACAGAATTCTACCCCCAACTCCCTCTCGCGGACAATATCTAAGAGAGAAAACTCTCTTGTACGAAATATTTTATTAGGAGTTTGCGTCTGACCCAGAAACAGTCCAGCGTGGGCCATATCTTCACCCAGTTTAATCCTAATTTACCTGTCACACCAAAGATCCGCCCAGATCTGTTGCCCGCTGACATATCTTCATATTCCGAGCTGTGAAATGCAGTGCCAGAGGACACCTGAATTTATGTAGTAAATGGGTTTGTAGGTGAGTCACGTCGATAACGTCGATCGTAAAGGTGTTGAAGCGTAAAACATTTGTTCGAGTCGCGTAGAGGGTCTATTATATTTAAAGTCTTGAGTTTGCTAGAGAAAAATCAGTCGGCAGAACAACCCGGTAACTCATTTATGGTTCGTAGGAGATCCTGGGGTCTCGGGTTCGAATTTATAACTTGTGTTGGGCAAGGCCGTGGTCTAGGCAATGGCAAACCACTTCTGGATAATCTGCCAAGATCGTATATGAACAGTTCCCAGTCCGAGAAAAGGATGGAAGGCTCCTGTTCATATGGACCTGTCGTCAGACAGAACACTAAATAATAATAAGATGAGGTGGTGTAGCGGTTAGAACGCTGGCCTTGTAATCCTGGGGTCTCGGGTTCGAATTTATAACTTTTGTTGGGCAAGGCCGTGGTCTAGGCAACGCGGAGTTTTCCTCCGTGGCATCCCAACCATTACTCCATTCACACACAGAAGAAGGCAATGGCAAACCACTTCTGGATCATCTGCCAAGAACGTATATGAACAGGTCCCAGTCCGAGAAAAGGATGGACGGATCCTGTTCATATGGACCTGTCCTCAGACAGAACACTAAATAAATAAATAAAAAGGAGACGAAGGGATTAAGGAGAGAAACGAGATTAGAGGAAGAGAGAAAGAGAATAGGACGACGCGCGGGAACAACGGGTAAGCGTAATTACTACTCGCCACAACAGTCGCTGACTAGAAGCGTCCTACCTTCTGGCTAAGTTCTGTAATGGTAACCTACGTGCAGGTAGGAGCATTTCTACGCGATGACATCATCCCACACCTGTAGGACCTGTTCTCGAGGCCAGCGTTATTACCCGTCTCACAAACGTCACGTCAATACTATACTACATTTCAAAAACATCGCTCCTACTTAGCCTCCATTATCATGTAATAAAGCATGCAGCAGAGACCTCTGAAACGTCAATAAACTTCTACCAGACCACGCGGTTAAAGAACCCAGAAGACTGCAGTCGATAATAATACTTTATTTTGCGAAATATTCAGCGGATATACCAATAATACAGAATCTTCTTCGTGAGGTTAACATTTGAGACAATTTTCTAAATTCCTTCTTCTATGAAAGTCGAAATTTCAACGCCAGGTTACCAAGGTTCCGTTACAAACTTGTCGATATTTCCAGTATATATTTATGTTTTATTTAAGGATCGTGCATCAACTACGCAAGTTCATTAGATGTAGAAACAAAGATAATTATGAAACAGCAGTCACAGATTGTAATATCAAATTGTACGAAACCAACTTCAGGTCTCTTCGTTTTATGTACGTTTGGTTGCGTTTGTCAGGGGCCCGAAGTTCCTAGTAATTGCGCTAGATGGCAAAACGTTATATTTTCCAGTTTGTCACCATTAGGCAACTTTCAGAAGTACTTCTAATACAAATTAAGTAAACGTCGTAATAATAATAATAATAATAATAAGGGAAGAAAGAAGCCATTTCCCGTTGAATTTCAACGGGTAATTTAAACTAGTGGAATATAAGTCAAGATTGTTGGAAATCAAACAACGGTGAGAGGAATTGAGAAGTTTTAAATTGAAAATGATCACGTCATTGGATGAGTCTCTTTGATGTCGTAAGTACTCCTGGTGGAGTTCCAACAACCTGAGGTACTAGTGTGAACTCCGAGGGGCAGAATCTTAAGGAGGTTAAAATCATTTACAAAGATAACAAGACAAACTATTTAACCGGAATGATAATTTATTACAGACTGGTGTTTCTCAACCGGGGGTCGGCGATTTGAGTAATTTCACTTTTTTTTATAGTGTTGCAAGTTTTAAAATTTTCATTATCATATTTTTTCCTTCTACACTGGAATAGAAACATGACAAAAACATGGCTTCTATCTGCATTTCAGTTAATTTATAAGCCTATTCTATTTAATTAAAAATGCGTGATATTATTCTGAAGGTGAGGCCCGCGGCACCACAAAGGTTAGGAAATGTCGTGGCTGATCTAACGTAACAAAAGAAACAGCTTACGTCTGAAAGCTTCCAGGCACTGATCGCCGGAAAACCGATTATCACGTGGTAGTTATTTATACGTAATGTGAACACGATAATGAAACTCCCGAGTTAACGTAAACGGAGACAAATTTCTCGATCAGCTGAGCGACTACCAGCTTCTTAAGAAGGATTACGCTGCATGGAATATCTGAAACTGTACTTGAATCTTTATGCTTTTAGACAGAACTCCTGAAAATGTGAGAAAATTTTCTCCGAATTTAATACTGTCAACTTCTTAGTCAATAAATAATTTTTTAAAAAATATATAGATTTTGACTGATACGGGAGTTTTGGAGTCCCTCGTCCCCATCTGTTAAGGATAAAGTAAGAGTGAAGGCGTTAGTGTGATGATTGGCATAAAAGACGGAATTTTGAAATTTTGTATTAGCGAAAGCTGAGACTATTAATTTGGAAGTTTAATACATAATTTAGAATTTGAAGCCACAGCTCGTCTAAATAATATTTAAGAATTCAGTCCGTACCGCAAAGTAAACACAACACCTTGGGGGTGGCGTTAGGAATAATTTACGTTAATTTTGGGGGGGGGGCTACTATAGAGCGGAATTTTAGCCCCCCCCCCAAAATTAAGTCGTCTAAATAACATTTAAGGATCCAGTCCGTACCTCAAAGAAAACACGACACTTCACCGTTACAAATATCAACTGGCTTTAGCTCGTTCCATAAACACGTGAAATACGAAAAAGAACGAACATGTCCGAGTGTTTCCGAAGTGAACATACAGAGCTTTGCCTCCAAATGTATCTCAGGGACGATGATGGTGTCATATCTGTTATTTGGGCTGGTGTATTTCCAGTCGCAAATAAAGTGATTCATAATGTTAACGCGCATTGTTTGCGTTCTTAATTCGCGACAAACGACAACTGGAAAGTCGCCTAGTCTTCATCATTGCCACCAGTTGAAAACTACTGAACAGATTTCGACACAATTTTGTACTGAATGTCCACAGAGTTGTGTCCATCGATCCAATACACACGAATCTCATATCGAAATTTATTTTCTAAAATATCGCTCATATTAAGTGTGTTCTTTTCCACCACGGTATGGCGTGTCTCCAGGGTTCCGATGGAGAAAACTGTTTCCAGATGTGGAGGGTAACTGCCTATAGGCTTTCACTAAATAAACAACGCGGACAGCCGACAAGGCATGGTCCGCCATCTTGGGGTTTGGATTGGGGGTGGGTAAACTACTATTTATCAGTATGTTACGAAAAAAGACAAACACAGGACCATTCAGAAGACCTAGACGTATATGGGAGGATAATATTAAAATGGTTTTTACGAAAATATGGTGGGAACATGTGGCTCAGGATATGAACAGATATTTGGGTCTTGAGGAGATAATAATAATGAATTTTGAGTTCCACAAAAGGAGAGGATTAGCTGAGCGACTATTAGCTTCTCAAGGAGAAGTCTGTTCCATGGAGTCAGTTAAAATCCCGCTCAAGAAAAGTTCAGACCTGATATAAAAATATCAGTTTCTATTTTGAAAAAATGTTCGACACGACGCAGATTACAAAATTCAAGAAACAATTTTGGAACAGTGGTTTTGCTTGGTCTAGGATAAAGGATTTGTATAAACAAGGTAAATTTCATGTTCCTGATAACTATTCCGCAAAGAAATATTTCGGTTTCCAAGTAAAAGTTCCAAGTATTTGTAACCTTGGACTAAATGGGGGGTCACCAGCCAGCTTCAAGCTTCGGTCGATTTACCCCATGGGTAATCCCTTGGTTCCCGCTGGATACAAAGCCGAGTGCTGACTGAGATAACCCACTTCTCTAATTTATTTTTATTTATTTAGTGTTCTGTCTGACGACAGGTCCATATGAACAGGATCCTTCCATCCTTTTCTCGGACTGAGACCTGTTCATATACGTTCTTGGCAGATGATCCAGAAGTGGTTTGCCATTGCCTTCTTCTGTGTGTGAATGGAGTAATTGTTGGGATGCCACGGAGGAAAACTCCGTGTTGCCTAGACCACGGCCTTGCCCAACACAAGTTATAAATTCGGGCACCGCCGGGAATCGAACCCGGGACCCCAGGATTACAGAGTACTAATTCCGCGAAGACGAATTTTTCTTCAGAAGCTGACAGTATGCTAACTTCGCCAAGAAACTATGCAACCATCAGGTTCACAGATAAATCCAGTCCACATCCTCTCATCCTATTTCATTAGGACTTTTTTAATATTATCTTACTATATACGTCTAGGTCGTCGAAGTGGTCTCTCGTCTCCACGTTTTCCGACAAGTGCTTTGTATGCATTCCTCATCTCTCCCCTCAGTGCTTCGCCCCTCGCCCCGATAAACGAAAGGCCATGAGGTATGTGCCTTCGGGTTGCGTCTTGGCACCATCTTGCTCTAAGCTACGAGCCGCTGCTGCGTTGGTGGGGGTGATACAGGTAGCTGAGCGATAGGTCGGCAGAGCCAGTGCAATGAGACCTTCATGACGGTGTGGACGACGGAGGAACGGGGTGTGGATATGAGGGTCCTGACATGTGGCTGCTTGTGTGTCCTGGTGTTTCTAGGATGGCTTCTGGTAATGGTCGAGGCAGGTCTGCAAATAGAGGGCAACGTTTGTGGCCAGAAGACATGCAAGACCAAGGAATACTGCAGCAACCACGACATGATGTGTCGACCCTGTGACGAAGTGTGCGAGATAACATCTAACAACTACCAGCAGAAGACTTGCGAGGACCAGTGTCAAGGTATGTTAGACTAGAGTTCCCACGTACATAAGTAGGGTTAATTTCGCTTCATTCCGAAATCAGCACGTTTTTCATTCAATATAACCCGTTCAGACAATTTTACGATGATCATAATGATGACAGATAAGGTAAAGTTATTTCCAGTTATTAATTATCACGACATGAAGATGTAAAGTATAATGGAGATACGTGTAGCTTAACACTTTCTTGATCTCGGTACTGTATGGAAGTAAGTCTCTAGCTTGACTTCCCATCCGTTTTAACCCAAAGGAAAGATTTATTGAAAAGTTAATAATAAAATTATTTCACTTCACGGAAAATTTAACAAAAAGATTATTAACATTTTAGGAACGAGTTGTGACTAAGAGCGACGGACAAAATATTAACATTGAAATAGTTGTTACATGAAAGGTGAGATGTGTGACAGATATAGAAAAAATATATCATCGCATTTGCAGTTCAACAAAGATTTAGAATTACAATTCGATGAGATGACAGAATACAGTTAAAAGTATTTAAGCGATGTTACCACACTCTGTGAACTACCAGTAGAATCACTTCTGAACTAAAGGACGTGACACACGGCTAGACAGACACTTGACTAGACCAGTGCCCATGCTATGGTAATTGCGCACAGCGGCCATCTTAACTACTAGTTCCGGGCTGAGTGTAGGAAATTTTATGGGCATATGTTTCGTTTATGTTTGTGATTCAAGGACTGTCTGTGATCTTCTAAAGTGTTTGCACGTACGCATATTAAAGTAATATTCCTTTAATTACATCTCTTGCCGAAGGAGATTTGTTTTCATTCCCAAATCTTTCTTCATGACGTGATACTTTAAGTACTGAGACATCGTTACCTTTGGTATGTGTCATATTCTGTTTTTTTTCGTGATAACAAGGCAAGGCACATCAGGAGATCATTAACTGTAGAACGGAGACATTTTCTTCTGTTCTTTCACGGAATGACACCTTAGGCCATGATCAGACTAACAGGCCTACGTATATGTGTATCTGATGACGTCACGAACACGTCATCATGTGCTCAACATTGAAGGATACGACTGAAAACGAAACCTTGTCGGTTTGTTCCGCTTGGCGGACGCGTTCACGACAGTGTTTTTTTTTCTGAACACAGCGTGGCGAACTTAAACGTTCATTTTTTTTTACTAATAGTGTACAGTAGGCGAAAAAATGACTCATAAACCCATATTTTTCACACTTTTTTAAAAACTTTTATGTTTTCTAAGAGCACAAAAGTCAACAACTCTTTCGACTAAAAGACGCAAAACCATCGGGTGAGACCGTAATATGACGTACAGCTCAGAATAATATTAAAACGAATCTTCGGAAAGAAAAGGGTAATGAACTGAAATGTAATGTAACCAACAAGAAAAATGAGTTATAGAAAATCACAAAGAACGCATCTTAAAATACGGACATTTTATCTTTACTGAATAAAAGTAAATTAAATTTAAAACTATTTTATTCAGCGGCATTGAGACGGGATTCCTTACAACCCTCTAAAGCCGAAGCTCGTCTAAATATTATTTAAGAAATCAGTCCGTACCGCAAAGAAAACACACCACTTCACCATTAGAACGAACTACTTTCCAACGTTGTTTAAGGAAACCCACAGATACAAAAAGCAGATATTCTGATTGTCATTGAATTATCATTTAGAGTTAAAATAATTTGGAAAGAAATTACTGATTTACAAGAGGCATAATTATTACGCTTATTTGGTCAGACAAATGTGGATTCTTAGTTGAAGTCTGAAGCTTTGTGACTATGGCGCGTCATAATACTTTGTCCATCGTCTAAATTACGAAGCGAAATACAAATTTGTTTCGGAAGCCCTATCTTTTTCCATCTTCAGGTAAAAAACTAAAGAATAGAAACTATATAACTGTTTGTCCCCCCCGAAGACGGAGGAAAATCCAGCTTCCGAAACGTATTTGTATTTCTATTTGTAATTTAGACAATTAACAAAGAAAAATAATAATTGAAAGTGTTCAAGAGCGCTTATGTTAACTGTTTTGTATTTCCGTGTCAACTTTACGCCCTTCTAGCAAGACGCCTTCGATATTTATTAAACATTTGTCTAAACATCTTAACAGACACGTTTTGTGTGGTTATATCATGCAAATTTCTTCCTAGAAGTAAACATATTTTGTTCAGTCAAATGCACAACACTTTTCAAATAACGGCACATTATATGACTCACTGACAGAGAAAGTATTGCTCGAGGCGTATCGGGAAGGAACAGCATGTGCGCTAGTGTTTTGTCTGTCTCATCGACCGTACCAAATTAGTAATTCTAACAGCCACAAGAGCTCGCCACTGGACCCTATCGCGTTCCGGCTGAATCCAGTACACATCTTCACTCTCTGCTTGTCACGCAATTTCAGCGATTATTCCATACACCTGTGCCACAACTCGTCTCTTTAATTGATATTAGTGGCATCCTTCACCCACCCCTTCTCAGCCATCCATGTGTCCATTATTCAAGAAGTTTCCCCGACAAAAATTCTGTATGCATTCTTTGTATCATTCATCCTCGCCACCGGCTTAACTTATCACAGCCTCTAAACAATACATTGCACGATTAATCGACTAATCGGATTATTATTACATTAACTACCCGTCAGTGATAAAAAATTAAGTGGAAAGATGATTATCTCCAACATGGACTAACTTTTCTAACCTCACTTTTCAAGCGAGTTCCTTGCAAACTTAATTCATAAACTGTGATTCGGTACACATTACATTCCAAAATTACTTCAGTCAGAATTCAGACACCAAATTTAATCAAAATCAGTTCAGTGGTTTTAGAATTTTAAACATGAAGACCTCGTGTCACGAAATACATAAATAAATACTGAAGCCAATTAGAGAGATCGTCAAGAGTTCAGTTATCAAAACTGCCGCGCAGGTGGCACGACTGTCTGCACGCAGACCGAATTCCTCAACGCTGCTTCTAGGGGACAGCGATGGATGAGTCAGCCGACAAATAAAGAGTGAACAAGGAAGGGGCGGTCGGATTTCCCCACCTGACACACAAATACGTCGACTTTTCGCAGACTGCGGGCTACTTATTGTCTTCTGTGTTTGGCCTTAAAGCCTAAGACGACGACGATGATAATTACAAGTTGTGAAATATACACACAGCTTTCGGCAGAATCAAGATTTTTAAACTTTCTAAATGCTGATATTCTCCGGCTAGGGATCCCCATCTGGAGATTCCCCACCGTCACTTCGGACTACAGAAAACACGCGTTGATCGACATATTTTTGGTCAATTTTAAACTGCTGTTTAAACATTTTTCGTAACCCCCACATAATATAAAATTTTATGAACTGGGCGCACAGACGGACGGACGGACTGAATGGTTTTTATAAGCGCTCAGTAGGAATGCGAACTACGTCTAACAAGCCTGAAGTGTTCACACGGTGACAGTCTCCTTCCCTATTTCTGATTCATACCTATATTTATCTGTCTCTTGCATTCCTTCGCTCCTTTTTGTGTTCATTAAATAACTCGGCAACTTAGGTCCTTGGTATAAAAATAAGACAAGTCCAACAAGTAAGACACATCAACAAATATCGAGCTAAAAAATATGCGAATCTCTTTGTTTGGTGCTCGAAGACTTAGCCCTTTCTTGCCTCAAGTTAGTTTCAACACGCATATCGATATTACCTTACGTCGATCCAAGTTAGTCACGCAACCCTATTAGCTAGACTCTTCTGTTGTCAGCTCCGCGTCCAAATCAAGGACACAACGAAGTTAGCACAACAAGACAACCCCCCACCCCCTCCCCCACAGTTCATGTATTGAAATTCACTAAAAATGTTCCATACAGACGATGTATCAAAGCATCTATTGATTTCCACTTGAACAAGAGCACGTAAGTGAAACCGAGCTTCTTTAAAACGTCTTAATATAAGAAAATACTGGCCACTTAAAATGGATTTTGATAATCCTGAAAAGCTTTTTTAAACCAATGTTTTCAACTGCAGTTTAAATGTGTCTCGAAATGTTAATAGGCAAGATAACTCGAAGAGAAGTTTATGAGCGGGACATTGTCGTGACAGGAAGCAATCAGAAATGGATTCGTGGGTACAAACAAACAAACAAACCTCTTGTAAACAATAGAAACTCAGAACAGCAACTGAATTTCCCCTCAAAATCTCGCGATTTGAGTTCGTAATTTTTATGTGAAGAGGACGAGTGTATATTTCATTTCCAAACTCGTAACAAACGTTTTATAATTATCTAGTACACTATAAAATAAAATATTAACAATTCTAGGTGTACCTTTATGTAACCCCTACTTTTTTTCTGATGTCAGAAGTGAAATAACATTCTTATAAATTTTCTCTATTTCTGCAGGACGAAATTCCTCAAAACTGAATTGTCTCCGTCATTCTAGAACAAAGCATCCCCCGAAGATA